CAACTCACAACATCCTGTGATTCGATGATTCTGAGAGGAGGACAGCCTGGGGAGGATGCTCTGAGCTCCACAACTCATCTAGATTTGGTGGAGCTGGATGCTTTTGGTCCCCAAGTTGCTTGGAAGTTCTTGTGGAGCACACCGAGAGCTTGCAGAGCTCCTTGCTGTGCTTGCAAGCAATGCTGAGCCCCGTGGCTGGGCTTGCTCACTTCAGCTAGGGCTGCTGTTGATGAACGGCTGGTGGTAGCTGCATGGAAAGCCTGAGTGTCTAGAAGTTTCCTGCCCAGGGATATCTCACCCCAAAGGATCAGCTGTGGATGCTCCGGGTGCTGGAGCAGCCTGGGGTGCACAGCGAGCGAGCAGCGAGAAGCACTTGGAGCGAGCCAAGAGCATTGATCTGAGCTGGAGATGGTGCTCGCTCAGCCCCGCAGTGCCCCGTGTGAAGGTTACCAAACCTGTGCCACCCACTCCCCAGGAGCGTGGCCGTGCCTCAGTTTCCCCACTCGTGAATCCGGGCCTTAGGCTGCTGTTGCCCTTGGGGTGCCCTTGGTGTTCTGTGGGCAGTGAATGCCGGGGGAGCTGCAGCCACGGACTTACCACATTTGTGCCACGTCTCCGTGTTTTCCTTAATTTTAAGCAGAATCCGACGAGGCTGAAAAAATCCGGGTTTGCTTTTCCCGCAGAGGGAACGTGCTCAGGGATCAGCACACACACAAAGCGGAGTGTTCCCTGCCAGCAGGGCTCTAGCACCGTTTTTTGGTGCAATCAGCAGCCGTAGCCCATCCGTGGGGAGACTGTGGTGTGTGCCACCGATTTTGCTTCTCCTTGGGATGGAGAAGGATTCGCTCCAACCAGGCTGTTCCCAGCTCCTTCTCCTTCAGCCTGTCCTGTTCGCTCTCATAAGGCCCCACCTGGAATATTGTGTCCAGTTCTGGAGCCCCCAGCACAAGAGAGACCTGGAGCAGTTAGAACAAGTCCAGGGGAGGCCACCAGGATGACCCGAGGGCTGGAGCAGCTCTGCTGTGAGGACAGGCTGAGAGAGTTGGGGCTGTTCAGCCTGGAGAAGAGAAGGCTCCAGGGAGACCTTCTAGTGGCCTCCCAGTACCTGAAGGGGCTACAAGAAAGTTGGAGAGGGACTTTTCATAAGGGCAGTTAATGACAGAACAAGGGGAAATGGGTTTAAGCTGAAAGAGGGGAGGTTTAGATGAGATATTAGGAAGAAGTTCTTCACTGTGAGGGTGGTCAGACACTGGAACAGGTTGCCCAAGGAAGTTGTGGATGCCCCTTCCCTGGAAGTGTTGAAGGCCAGGCTGGATGAGGCTTTGAGCAACC